TTCAAGATAGTTTTGCTTCTCGCCATCTCTTGATAGATGATTACACACTGAATATTGCTGCCAATTCCCTTACCCGTTTGTTCAAAGTAGATTTGGTTTTTGCTATTTTAGGAATCCATTTGAAACTGGGTCTAATAGCCGATGCTGTTTTCTTCAACACCTTACTAAAAGGGCTTTTTCTTCAACATAGAGTTCAAGATGCTGTTTGGTTGTTCCAGAAGGTATTGAATCAGAAAGTGTGTGAGGTAGATGAAATCACACTATCAATACTCATTGATGGCCTCTGCAAGGCAGGACACACAGTTAAGGCTAGTAAGCTGCTTCACTTATTTGACGAGAAGGGAAACTGCAAGCCAGATGTATTTTCATATAACACCGTTATTGACTCTTTGTGCAAGGATCAAATGTTTGATGATGCGCTGGGCCTGTTTGAGAAGATGATGGAAAAGGGCATTCCTCCTGATGTCGTGACCTATAATTTGCTAATTGATGGGCTCTGTAAATTCAGTCGATGGGAAGATGTCAAACAGTTACTGAAAAGAATGACGGATTACAGAGTTTCTCTGGATGTTCACACATACAACATTCTAGTGAATGGGTTTTGCAGGGAAGGATGGATCACCGGTGCTGCAAAAGTCATGAATAGAATGATTCAAGAAGGTGTGGATCCTGACATAATCACTTACAATGCTTTGATGGATGGATATTGCTCACAAGGAAAACTGGACAGTGCGTTGCAAATTTTAGAGACCATGATAGATAAGGGATGTGACCCGGATATTTACACATATAACATTTTAATAAATGGATATAGCAAGAACGGTTGCTCAGATGAAGCCATAAAGTTGTTTGATAAAATACCAAGTCAAGGCTTAAAGCCCACAGTTATTAGCTACAACATAATCCTGGACTGTTTATTTAAGGCAGGGAGATGTGGTGATGTTGAGAAGCTTTTGAAAGAGATGGTGGCAAATCGAGAACATCCGAATCTCTTCACTTACACCATTATTTTGGATGGATTATGCAAGAACGATCGTGTTTCTCAAGCGCTTTCTTTATTAAGGATGATGGAAGCTAAGAGTTTTGTCCTTGACATAGTCTGCTACAATACTGTTATTAATGGACTATTCTTAGATGGAAGGTCACGGCGCGCAATAGAACTATTCAATGTTCTTCCCTCTAAAGGGCTACAACCAAATAAGGTAACTTACTTGAGTATGATAAGTGGTCTTTGCCGAGAAAGCTTGCTAGAAGATGCAAAAGATACGTTCAATAAAATGAAGAGAAATGGGTACATTGGTGATAGCGTGATATTCAATATACTCATATGTGGGTTATTGAAAAAGAATGAGCATCTTGAAGCAATATTGCTTTTGGAGGAGATGTTAAGACTTGGATTCTCAGCCGACAATAGAACCTGTGAGATTGTACTTGAGACAATGCTCCAAGAAGGACCAGATTCCACTCTACTTCATATGCTTTTGAAAAAAGGAATAGAAGGAAATAGGAAAAAGTTTAGCTCTTAAAATCTTTACCGCGAAATGTATGTATTTGTTTATCTTCCATGTCTGTTCTGAATGATAGATGCTAATTTATGATAAACAAACACAAAGAACCATAACCCAATGTGTATTCTCATTCTTGATGAAAGTAGTCACTCTTCAGATTTTAATGCTAATTATGACTTGTCTGTTAAGATGCCAAGAGCTTTTTTCTCATAAGTCATTGCGGTTTACATGTCCACATGTTTAAACGAGAAATATGCATCCATAAGGAAAAGGCAGGCTAGAAAATTGCATGTCAACTTAATTTCGTGTTCTTTACCACTAGAAATATCTCGTTCTCAAAATGTTGCGTGGTTGAAACTCAGGGAAAGAAAAAATGATAAGAAAAACGGGTTTGTTTTCTCATGTTTGGTCTCACCCACCAAAATACAAAGGAAATTTAATTGGATTGCAATAATTTTATATCTTAAACATCTATTGATTTCAGTGTTTATTAAAAGCAATATTTAATTAAGAAATGTTTGAACGAGTATCCAGAATTAACATATTGATTGTAATTTGCAAAGCAATGTTTTTCGTAGGCCCCACTACTTTTCTTCTCCTTCCAACTTTCCAGTATGTTTTCATCCCCATTTTTTCCTTTAGCTGTTTCCAGGTTCCAAACGAACCCTAGGATTATTGTAATGATTGTATTTAAATCAGAGAAATGGATCCTTGTGTGTTTGTGTGTTTCATGTCAAAGGAAAAAGAATGTTAAACTGATTGGTTTCTGTTCAGACTCTAACTGTATCATTCCTTTATTCTTATACATCTCAATTTGATGTAATTCCCATTCATGTTTCACTTATTGTTGCTTCATTCTGAATCTGATGTGCGCTGCACACATGGTGAAAGTATTTCCACATAACTCTTATTAAGTGAATGGGAATTTGTACGAACCCATACAATTCATGACAGTTTTATGTCATTTTTAAGAACCATTCCGTATTATATTTGTGATATTTAAAAAGTACATTGTTTTACAAGATGAACTTAATTATTAGGGGTTGGTAATGTTAACATATCATCACCCAATACCACACACGTTTTCGGTGATAATATTTTAATATAATATGAGTGTGTCGCCTAGTAACTACTTGAGTATTGTAAGGAGGTCTATTTGTTAGTTTTCCCTTTTCTTTTTAATCAAATGAAGGTTAGCCAAATATATTAAATTGAAAGGGTATGTGAAGTTTACTCAAAGTTAGCGCTAATATGGCTTTTTGTGAGTCAATATGTCATGGTAAATGGTCCAGATTGTGATATATGAACTTGTTAGTTATCACTATTCAAATATTTGATTTTCAAGACATGCAGATTGATACTATTGAGTTGAAGAACTCAATTTTGAACTTTCAATCTGACTGCCACTTACAAGTTACAAGTCACCACCTTTGACAAATGGAACTTATCATACTGAATTTGGTCTTACAAGTAGGGTCTTCTCATGTACTTTGGTGAAGCTTGTTCATACTAAGTTTTTGTTTGGTATTACAAAAATAAAGAGACTTCTTTTTCTGTCTAGGTATTGTACTTTCTAGTTAGAGGCTTAGAGCTTGTAAATACTTATAATTATATTTTTTCTGTTCTTGAAAGCAATACAAGCATTTCTCTCAATATTAGCTCACAAATGATCCTGTAAATCCCCAACTCATACATCAAACAAGTAAAGAAAAAACGATATTATTTCTCCAACAGGTTGACTGGATGATGCATTTACTTCACAAATTTTGAGATTGAGAATATTATGACAAAATGATATACCACATTTCTTACTAATCGTGACATTTTCTCATGTTCCAAACAAAGTGGGGCAGAAGTAGCAGCTTATACTCAGATTTAGACATCACTCTAATATATTACCTCCTCCATTCCAAAATGAAAGTCATATTTTTCATTTTGGAATGTCCCAAGTTAGAACTCCCACTTTCCTTTTTAAGTAAAAGTTTTCCGTTAAATTCTTCTTGTTTTAAATCTCTTAAGATATTATTTCATATTTTTCTGGGAAATATAGAAGGTAAGGGTAATGTAGAAATTTTAACACACTTTCTTAAACTTTGAGCCAAATTTTGGACTTTTAATCCACTTTGTAAATACTGGGTGTGTGGGCAGGTGAAGTATATTAAAAATCTTCATTCAATTCCTTTGCAGCTATCCTGGTCCACCTCTCCCTTTCAACCAAACACTTCTTTGGCTTTTCTGTTGCTCCATATATCACTTCCACTGAACCTTATTTCACAATATATCTTCACCTTTATCAAATCCCATCTCCTTTTTCAGTTGCTGCTGCTATTCTTGTCTTTCATTCATTTCCACTGCTTCAGTCATTAAACAATCTGTCTGTTTTCTCATATACATAGTTAGTGTTGGACCCGGGCCGGGTCAAGGCCCGGTCGGGCCTCGGGTCTTATAATGGTAGGCCTGGGACCGGCCCGGTCAATGACCGGTTCCGGTTCGGGCCGGGCCACCCGCCGGGCCGGGCCGGGCCAGTATTTTTTTTTATTAATTATATATTATACAAATTGCTATTTAAAACAAAGTTCAAGTGCATTTATTTGAAATAAGAACTACATTTGAGAATTGAGAAAAAAATAACAATACGAAATACATTTTGTAATGAATATCAATTGGGATTTCCGCCACCGTTGGTTGTTGTTTTCCCTTTGTCACAGGACTTCATATGTTTTATTGGCATCCCGTATCCGTATGAACGCCCCTAGCAACACTCTTTCTTGCACCACCTGCAAGTTGCCCACCACAGTCCGGTCTTCGGGTCCTTCTACTTGTCAAAATTGTTTTGCATAAGGGAAGATGTACTTTCCATATTTAAAATGGTATATGTATAAGTAGGAATGTAGGATAATAAGAGAAGATGAAGATGGAGAAGAGTTTGAGATTTGAGAAGAATTGGAGAAGAGGTGTAGAAAAATGTTAGAAAATAGATGTATTTATAAATGTTTTTGAACCCCACTCCCCACACCACCACCCCCGGGACCCCCTGCCCCCACCCATAGCCCCAACGGCTATATAGCCGTTTGGGAGGTTCGATTTTTTTTTTTTAAGTTATACACATATTGTAAAATAAATTAATTAATTTAATGAATTAAGTAAAACTAAAACTATTTGTACTTAGAAAAGTGGTTTGATTTATAATTTACAAATGTTACAAAATAGGTGTATAAGTATTTAAACAAATTACATATTGTAAATGTATTTTTAATTTAAAAACCGGCTTTATATTTTAGAAAAATAATTTTAAGTCGTTAGATTGTAACCAATTAATTAATTTGAGAAGTGCTACATATGAAAAAGTGAACACATATTTATTTGAAATATGAAGTACAAGTTTACAAATTAATTTGAAGTACAACTACAAATTTACAATTTTGAAATATGAAGTACAGTTTACAATTTTGAAATATGAAGTACAAGTATAAATAAATTTGACAAGTGCTATAAAATACATTTTATAATAAATTCTAAAATACTAATCAATCGGAATCTCCGGCATAGGTAGAGCCACCATCGGTTGTTGAGTCATCCATAAAATCTTGGGAGGGGGTGATGCTCAATTCTTGAGTTCTACGTGCGACCTTCAACCAATCGTGGTAGCATATAAGCGTCTCAAGAGACTCCGCGCTCAATCTCGATCTAGATGCCGTTAGGACGTTGCCGGCCGAACTAAATTCTTGTTCCACAGCAACTGTTGAAACCGGCATTGATAGTACTTGCTTAGCCATCCGTGCTAAAATCGGGAACGTTCTTTCTTTTGACTTCCACCAGTCTAGAACGTCAAAGTCATCATTTTCTTCAAAATCAACTTCATATGTTAAATACAAAGTAATCTCATTCAATGCGCTTTGTTCAGTGACGTGAGTTGTTTTAGTTTTTTTCATAAGATTGCCAAATGCAGATTTAAAAATCTATTTTCCTTTAGATGAAGATGTTCGTGACGGGGGAGGGGGAGCGTTGCTATATTGTGCACGAAACTCATTAAATAAGGCATAAAATAAAGTACTAACCTCGTTGTATTCCGTTTTCGGATCTATGGGGTTATCGTCATACATTGGAAATTCACCGAAAAACGCAAGATAATAGAAGTTGAAACAATCTTCCAAATTAGCAAGTCTATAACGAGGATTGAGAATAAATGCAATACCATAAATATGGGGAATATGCGCATAATATTTTAAAAACTTTTCCTTCATATGATCACAAAAATAATGAACGAAAACGGCATTCTGAAATTCTTTAAAAGCATCGGCGAGATTAACAGCTTGTGGAATAAATTGGTTTGCGGTAGGTTTATAAACATGACTAAAAGTTTCAGTAGCATTAAAAAAAATATCAAAACATTACAATTTTTTTCGCAAGTGTCGATCTCAGCCGCGTTTATAATATAGTTATCATGTTCTTTTAAAAAAGTAGGAAAATGTTCTTTATATCTAAGAACAACTTTAAGTAATTTATAAGTACTATTCCAACGAATACTCAAATCTTTAGGAAAAGCAACATATCTCACACCTCTTTCAGTCAAATAACTTTGCCATTTTAATCTAAGTTGACCATTACCCCAAATACGTCTAATCCCCCCTTTATTACCTCTATGGAATCTCCTAACGCTTTTAAACCGTCTTGCACACATAAATTTATAACATAACATGCACAGTGTTGATGAAAAAATCTACCCATCAAAGAATTGGCACCACACAACTCACGCAATCTAGGTATAGCAGCAGTATTATTAGTAGCATTATCGAAACCAATAGCAAACACCTTATCAATCAAATTATACTCAATTAAAATACGCTCAATCAAAATATAAATATGTTCAGCGGTGTGACGATCATTAAATTCACGAAAAGCAAGAACACGTTTATGCATATTCCAATCCTCATCAATATAATGTGCAGTCAGACCCAAATAATATAAATGATGAAAATCATCCTCCCATATGTCAGAACAAATAGTAACACGCCCATCAAAGTTTGCAAAAAAATTTTGTAATCTTACCTTTTCCGCATTATAAAGCCTTATTATTTCTTTCTCAACAGTTTTGCGACTATAATTTCTAAATTGAGGATTTAAACTACCTTGTGCATAATCTCTTAAAGCAAGACTTTCAGAAAACAAATAAGGCAAATTTTCTTCACAAATTAAGTTAGTCATACCAATCAAATTTTGTGCATCATTGTAGGAGAAATTACCAAAAGGTTGAGAATTCGCAAACCTCGATATTTGAGTTTGCTTCCCCGTTCCGCCGCCTAATTTTGCATACTCCACGGGGTGCTTTGCCTTAAGATGCCTTGCAGCGGATCCGTATCCGCCGGAGGTTCCCAAACTATAATTGTTGTTGCACCACTTGCAAGTTGCGTGCCAATAGCCGGTTTGCGGGTCCTTCCATTTATCAAAATTATTTTTCATTAGTTCAGACTTAATTTTTTTATTACCGGTGGCGGTTTGGGATGAGGCGGGCTCGTCGGCGTCGTGGCTGCCGGCACCCTCCTCCTCGGCCGTCTCCGGTTCCAATTCCTCCGCATCTTCATCCTCAAGCTCCTCTTCGTCAATGGTCGTCGGCATTTGTTGTTGTTGTAGAAAGTGGTTATTATGTCGGGCCAATTCTTGTTGGAGTTGTTCTTCGGACATCGCATCTCCATCTCGCCTTTGGTAACCCGTTTCAAAATCATCTCGGCTTTGAGATGAAGAACCGGCATGTTCTTTACCTTTGCGGGATTTCTTCCTTCCAATCCCGTTCCTTCGATTGCATTGGAGGTTACCCAAATCAACCGAATATCTACCACCTTCCATCTTAAAAATGTAACAAATATTAATTGACAACCAATATAATAATGGATACAAAACTAATGCAACTAATTAATACTATTTTAATTAATACTTCAAACTAATTTAGTGCAAAGTAGAATTAATGTGTGACTTTAAAATTAAAATTATACCAACTTTTGAAGTACTTTAATTTAGTAAAAACTACTTAAATAAAATGTTAAGTACTTTAATTAAATGATTGAACTACTATTTCTTCCTACAAATATAAATTGAAAATAAGAAAATGTGACTTTAACTATAATGAATTAATGACAATTAACTAGTTTATTGAAGTAGAGTTGTTTTAACAATTAATGAGAATACTAATGAAGTAAATAACTAGTATAATGAAAAATGTAACAACAATGCTAATTAACTAATTAACTAGTATAATGACAAATGTAACAACAATGCTAATAAACTAATTAACTAGTATAATGAAAAATGTAACAATAATGATAATGAACTAATTAACTATTATAATGATAAATGTAACAAGAATGCTAATTAACTAATTAACTAGTACAATACTAGTTATAGTAAGTAATATATAATATAATGTTTATAGTATATAATATATAAGTATACTACTATAAGATGAGTAATACACTTATATTTTATACTTTAATATATAAAGTATATATTAAGTAGATGTAGAATGTATGTATTAAGTGGATAAAATAATTGTATAAGAATTAAATATTAGAGTATAATGGAGAATTGGAGATTGGAAAATAAGAAAATAAGTATATATAAAATAGATATTATAAAGTATATATAAAAGTAGATATTATAAAATAAGTATATATAAAATAGATATTATTAAGTAGAGAAGTAGATATTATTATGTATTAAGTATATAGTAATAGTTTATAAAGTATATTTAATACTTTATTATATAAAGTATATATTAAGTAGATGTAGTATGTATGTATGTATTAAGAAATATAAGTAGAGATTAAGTAGATAAGAAATATAAGTAATATAGTATATGTATTTATAAGTAGATAATTAATATATAAATAGATATAATAATTGTATAAATATTAAATAGTAAAATAAAATATAAAGGAGAATAAGAGAATTTGAGAAGATGAATATGGAGAATTGGAGATGAGTAGAGAGTAGGATTTAGGGAGAGTCGGAGAAGAGGTGTGAAAAAATGTTTAAAATTAGGAGTATTTATAGGTTTTTTTAACCCCCACCCCCCCCACCCCCCACCCCCCCACCCCCCACCCCCCACCCCCCACCCCACCACCAAACGCCCCGGACCCCCCCTGGTACCCCCCCAACGGCTATATATCCGTTTGGGAAGTGGCTGTTGAGCCAAAATGTTTTTTTTTTCAAATTAAAAGGAATTTTTTTTTAAAAAAAACTGACCGTTAGGCCCGGGCCCGACCCGGCCGGGCCGGGCCGGGCCTCCAAAAACAGGACCCGAGTCCGGACCCGCTACCCCATCCGGTTCAGTGCCCGAACCGGACCCGGACCCGAGAACCGGGCCGGTTCTGGGCCCGTACAGTGACGGGTCGGGCCGGTCCCGGGCCGGGCGGCCCGAACCGGGTCCAAGCCTATACATAGTCCATTCCATTAGTTTCTTCCAGTAGCTAGCATGAGGTAGATGTATATTTCTAAGGGTAAGTTTCACTTTATGCATGTATCGATGCATGAAGAGAGAAAGTTGGTTGTTGAAAAGAGTGACCCAGAGACAAGCATAATGGTTGGATTAGTTATGGATGGTGATGGTGTGGGAAGAGCCCCTTGTTCTTATGGTAATTCCCAGCACAGGAGATCAAGAAGGTTGAGCTTCAGCAGTTTTTTTTCCTTTTCCTTTTAAATGCATTTTGTTTGGCTCTTCATGCAAATTGAAGTTTTCTTATGCATACTGAGAGTATGATATATATTGTATAGAGTTAATTTCAAAGTAATCAGACTACTCTTAAGAATTTTAATTACAAAATTTTGCAAATTCAAAGAGTGAAACACTAAATTTTCATAATGTTGTGTAGATGAACGAGACTTGAGCTTAACTTTAGCTCCATTCAGTTTTGGAGACACATGTAGATTTTCTGAATAAGTGTGCTTTTGTATTTTGCCATTGCAGTGCCTCAGAGAGACAAATGTATGAAGTTGTTTACATTGATCCATCATTTCTTCACACTTTAATGAGTTCTGGTATGAAAATCTAATAAACTCTATGAGGAATGTTTCTTCAGGGATTGCCACCACCGACAAGGAGCTGCAGGGCAAGCCTGATTCATTAAAGCTTCAAAAAGACAATGGATGTCATTCCTAACAACCGCGCTACATTGAAAAAAGATGTAAGTTAGACCACTCTTTCATATAGTTGCTACAAGAAAAGCAATATCTATTCTTTTTTTTTTTCAAAAAAGCAATATCTATTCTATATGTCCTCATTGATTAGTATAGTATATTCAACTTCTTCTTAACATAGTTGATACTTTTGAAGAGTTGGATTTGCGGTTGCAGCAAGAGAGATCAATGCGGATGTTGCTTGAGAGGACAATTGGAAGAACTTCTAGCACTCTCTCCCCTTGCCATCGATATCTTTATATGGAAAATGAGATACAGATTACACCATGGAGGTTGATTCAAAGCTATGCCCAAAGGGGCTATTAACATTTATGGATTTCATAATTTTCATTTTTATTTTGTTTTTAGTAAATTAGAATTTACCATTCAAAATGAACATAGGCACAAATACAAATAAAATACAAACCTTTCTATGTGAAGCTTTAAAATTCATAAGCATATGCAAAGGGGAATCTGGTCCATCTCGCAAGATAGTCTCGAGTATAGTCTCACATGTTCTACTGTTAGGTGAGAATACAAGTTTTGTCATTTCCGCCAAAAGTAATACAGCATCACAATGCTCATTATGAGTGCAATATCTACCATACTACCTGGCATGCAACCGTTTTCCTCCATGCTCCGCAAAATATCTTTTAAATCTTCTATCCGGCTTTCTCAGCTTTCACACTTTTGAGGGAAGGGCATTAAATAATTCTACTGCACTGCTGGGCTTTCCATCACTAAATAGCATATTTATGACTGTTATAGCTTACTATGTTGGGGACATGCAGGGCTCTCAGCTGCCATCATTCATTAAGGAAAGCGCTTGAGGAATAAGATCATTCTTACAGAATCCATCTATACCTGAACAGATCTGGATGTTCTCGATTTGCCACCATCTATCATTCTCTTCAGCAACTCTCTGACCTCTTCCCATCGTCTCGATTTGCAGAGCCAATCAGTTAGTGGGAAGAATGCCCTTTCCTGTCATCTTCTCTAAAATGCCAAGAGCATTTGTGAACCATTTTATCCTTACACGAGTCAATAACAGCGCTATGTGCAAATACATTTGGCTTGCAGTTTCCCTTCTCATCCAATAAGTAAAGCAGCTTACCAGCTGCTTTACAGAGGCCATCAACAAATACATTTGGCTTGCAGTTTCCCTTCTCATGACTGATCTGGTTTGAGACGGAAAAGAGTCCAAACAAAGACATCCCAATAATTATAATTCTAAATAATCATGTTCCCAATTCCCAAAGCTCCTTTCTATGAACCAATTTAGAGCACTTAGAATCACGTCTTTTTATCATATTATTCTCAATCCACTCGTTGTTCTATTTGTATCTAGACTGAATCCACTCGTTGTATCGCGTCTTGGGAATAACAGGATCGTGCTAATATGAGAGAAAAACACTTCTATTACTTTCAAGAATAGAAAGAAGAGACATACAAGCTCTAACTAAAAACTCTCAAAACAACACCTCACATATCTCTCAAGGATATTCACAACTCTTCTTGGTTGTGCTATGATGATCTATTCTATTTTACTTGATGATAGAAAGACTCTCCAAGCTCTCTATTTATAGCACCAAAACTAGGTACTAGGAAGGTGGGAGGAAGATGGGTGGAAGCTTAGGAGAAGCTTCAATGGAGGTGTGAGGAAGGTGGTTGTTTGGTGTGAGGAAACTTCCCAGAGACATACTTGCACATGGAGGAAGTTTCATGGATGTTACTCACAATTGGATTCTTCAATTTGCTTGTACTTGGATATGACCTGGAAATTGAATTCTTCAATTCTCCCCTTCCAGGCATATTCAAAACAAGCATCCCGACTATGTCTCTGCATAGCTCTAGCTTATCTCGTGTCACCACCTTCGTCAGCATGTCTGATGGATTCTCCTTTGTATTGATCTTCACTAGTCTCAACAGTTGTTGATCAATCGTCTCTCGTATCCAGTGATACCGAATGTCAATATGCTTTGTACGAGAATGGTACATAGAGTTCTTGCTCAAGTCTAGAGCACTCTGACTGTCACAATGTACCTTGTACTCTTTCTGCTGGATCCCAAGTTCTTGGAGAAAACGCTTTAGCCACAACATTTCCTTACCTGCTTCAGCGGCAGCAATGTATTCTGCTTCTGTTGTAGATAAAGCAACACACTTCTGCAATCTTGATTGCCAAGAAACGGCTCCCCCTGCAAAAGTGTAGATATATCCTGAAGTAGACTTTCTACTATCAGTGTCTCCGGCCATATCAGCATCTGTGTAGCCTTCCAAGACTGGATCAGCTCCTCCGTAACAAAGACATAACTTCGTGGTACCTTTCAAGTACCTGAGAATCCATTTGACTGCCTCCCAATGCTCCTTCCCGGGGTTAGAGAGAAAACGACTCACTGTACCCACTGCCTGTGCGATGTCTGGCCTTGTGCATACCATGGCGTACATCAAACTCCCAACTGCTGAAGAATATGGAACTGCTGACATCTCCCCGATCTCTTCCTTGGATGTAGGGCATGTTCTTTTGCTCAACTTGAAGTGATTCACAAGTGGAACACTTACTGGCTTGGCATCATTCATGTTGAATCTCTCAAGTACCCGTTCAATGTACTTCTCCTGAGATAGCCATAACTTGTGATTCTTCCTGTCTCGAGTGATCTGCATCCCAAGAATCTGTTGAGCCGGTCCTAAGTCTCTCATATCAAAAGACTTAGAGAGTTCTTTCTTCAGTTGGTTTATCTTCACTGCATCTTTCCCAACGATCAACATGTCGTCTACATATAGTAGAAGAGCAATGAAGGTACCGTCTGGAAGCTTCTTGATGTATACACACTCATCTGCAGTAGTCTTCTTGTAGCGTTGACTCTTCATGCATGAGTCAAACTTCTTATTCCACTGCCTTGGTGCCTGCTTCAAGCCATACAAACTTTTAGATAACTTACACACAAAGTTATCATTTGAGTTCTCAAAACCTTCCGGCTGCTGCATGTAGATTTCTTCTTTCAAATCTCCGTGAAGAAATGCTGTCTTCACATCCATCTGTTCAAGCTCCAAGTTCATACTTGCTGCCAAGCCAAGTATAACTCGGATTGAGGTCATCTTGACAACTGGTGCAAAGATCTCATCAAAGTCAATTCCTTTCTTCTGCTGGAACCCTTTGACAACCAACCGAGCTTTGTGTTTCACCACTTGTCCGCTTGCATCCTTCTTTAGCTTGAACACCCATTTGTTCCTTAGTGCCTTCTTCCCTTTAGGAAGTTCTACGATCTCATAAGTTTGATTTTTCTGCAGAGATTCTAACTCATCCTGCATTGCTATTAGCCATTTTTCTTTATCCTTATGAGATACAGCTTCTTGAAAACTCTCCGGTTCTCCATCTTCAGTTAACAAAAGATATTCGGATGATGTGTACCTTGTCGATGGTATATGCCCTCGTTCAGATCTACGAACAGTAGGAACCATCTGAGAAGAGCTACCATCATCTGTGTCTGGCGGGGTGGATTGTGTCTCCCCTTGCTCTGCACTATCTTCTGTCTCCTCGTCTTCTTCTGCTTCAGAGTTATCTTCATGCACTTTGTCCTCTTCTGGTACTTCATTTGAAACTTGAACACCCTCATTTGACTTCCGAGACATTGTGGGTTTTTCAATGTCTTCTATTGTCAAATCTTTGTGGAACACAACATCCCTACTTCTGAACACCTTTTTCTCCTTAGGATCCCATAGCCTGTATCCAAACTCTTCATTTCCATAGCCAACGAAAATGCATGGGATAGTTCTTGCATCGAGCTTCTGCCTGAGCTCTTTGGATACATGTGCATACGATGAACAACCAAATACTCTAAGATGTGAGTATGTAGGATCCTTACCTGTCCATAGCCTCTCTGGAACTTCAAAGTTCAGTGGTACTGAAGGTGATTGGTTGATAAGATAGCATGCGGTGTTGACTGCTTCTCCCCAGAATGACTTCGGAAGTTTAGCCATATTCAGCATGCTCCGGACACGCTCCATGATAGTCCGGTTCATTCTTTCAACAACGCCGTTGTGCTGAGGGGTGCGTGGTACTGTCTTCTCATGTCGAATGCCATATTCTCTACAATATGCATCGAACGCCTTGGAAGTATACTCGTCTCCATTATCTGATCGAAGACATTTCAGCTTCTTTCCCGTTTCACGTTCCACCAAGACGTGAAATGTCTTGAAGTACTCAAATACCTGATCCTTCGTAATAAGGAAATACACCCACACTTTCCGAGAAGCATCATCGATAAAAGTCAGAAAAAATCTGCTTCCACCGATTGATTCCACCTCGAAAGGACCACAGACATCAGAGTGTACCAAACTTAACAACTCCGATCTTTTAGTTGAAGTAGAATTAAATGATACTCTGTGTTGCTTACCAAACAGACAATGACTGCAAGGACTCAGTGCAGCGTTCTTGTCGATGTTGATAAGGTTCTTCTTCATCAAGGTAGTCAACCCTTTCTCACCGATGTGGCCGAGCCTCAGATGCCACAGATTCTGAGTAATCTCCTCAGCAATATTGAGGCTATCTGTACAAATCCTCAAATGAGTTTTGTACAATGTGCCACAAACATGTCCTCGAGCGATTGTCAAAACGCCCTTTGACATTTTCCATGTGCCCCTATTGAAGTGGTTTTCATATCCCTGTTCGTCAAGACATACCACTGACAAGAGATTGAGACGAAGGTCTGGAACATGTCTGACATCCTTCAAAGTGATTGTGCTCCCAGAACTCGTCTTTATTTGTACATCACCAATTCCAGCTATTTCAGATGAACTGGAATTACCCATCTTCACTGCTCCAAAGTCTCCAGCTTTGTAAGTTGTGAAGTAGTACCTGTGGGGAGTAACGTGGTAGGATGCTGCAGTATCTACCACCCATTCAGTGTCCTCTCTTGAGACGTGAAGACATGTTTCATCATTGGCAGTACAATACGCCACATCACCTGAGATTGTGATGAGCGCTTCACCACCCTTGTTCTTCGCTTGAGAATTGCTCTTGCCTAGCTCCTCTAGCAATTTGTAGCAATTCTTCTTCATGTGACCCTCTATACCGCAATGGTGGCAGGTATAAGAAGGTTTCCGGCCATCTGATGATCTCCCCCGACTTTTGCCTCTGCTTTTCCATTTCCCTCTACTGTTTCTTTGTTGTTTTCCTTGTGATCTTCCTCTATTCTCCGTCACAAGGGCATGAGTCTCATCTGTGCTCATGTCTTTCCTTCTTGCCTCCTCATTGAACAGTGCATCCTTGACCACAGACATGGTAAGTTTGCCATCTGGAGCTGAGTTGCTGAGAGTAACAACTAGTGTCTCCCAACTATCAAGAAGGGAACTAAGAAGTAGTAGAGATTGCATTTCATCTCCAAGTGTCATTTCTACACAAGATAGTTGATTTGCCAGACTCTGAAATTGACTAGTATGTTCAGCAACAGAAGTTCCACTTTTGAGCTTCATATTGACAAGACGCCTCATCAGTAAGGCTTTGTTCCTAGCGGTCTTGGCTTGGTACATATCTTCTAACTTCTTCCAAAGGGCATAAGCGTCGGTCTCTTGTGCAACATGGTGGAAGACACTATGGTCAATCCATTGTCGGATTTGACCAATAGTTTTTCTATTAATTTTCTTCCACTCCGTTGACTTGACCGGGTCAGGATTAATACCTTTCATCTCTACTGGATCAAAAAGGTCTTTACAGCTAAGGAAATCTTCCATCCAAGGTTTCCATAGCGTGTAGTTGGTAGCCGTGAGCATAATCATAGCTCCGGAAGATGAAGTTGACTCGTCAAAGGTCATTTTCACCTTCCAAATAATTTTGATTTTCTGTTTCAGAAAAATCGGAGCAAAACTTTGAAAAACGGGCAGCACCGTTGCGTCCGGAACGGCCGAAAATGGTGGGTAGGCACTTTCGGGGTCAAAATACAATTTTCGAAAAATTATAGGCCGAAATTATAATTTTTCAAAAAATTGAGGGACCAAACTGCAATTTTTCAAAAATTTAAAAACTGACCGGTGACGTGGCAGATGACGTGGCAGTGACTAGGGCGATGACGTGGCAGCTGACTGAGCACTGGTGAAAGTTGACAGTTGACTGATGACGTGACGGCTGACTGTGCTGTGACTGCACATGTGTCGCTGACGCAGCTCTGACTGGCTGATGACGTGGCGGCTGACTGTGCTGTGACTGCACATGTGTCGCTGACGTGTCGCTGACGCAGCTCTGACTGGCTGATGACGTCAGCGATGACGTCAGCTGTCTTCAACCTCTGTCTGCGCGTGATGACGTCAGCATGACGCATGCATTTTTTGGCCGGCGTTTGGCGGCGCGTACGGCAGCTTCCGGTGGCCAAAAAAATCCCCAAAAATACCAGTTTTCTCGTCTCGACGAGACGAATCCAACGGTATATTCATATTGCAATTCCGAGCAATACTGAAAAACTCGATTTTTCAGACAGTAGAATTTTATCTGAAAAAATCTGGGAAAAATATCAAAAGCTCAACCATGCTCTGATACCACTTGTTGGGAATAACAGGATCGTGCTAATATGAGAGAAAAACACTTCTATTACTTTCAAGAATAGAAAGAAGAGACATACAAGCTCTAACTAAAAACTCTCAAAACAACACCTCACATATCTCTCAAGGATATTCACAACTCTTCTTGGTTGTGCTATGATGATCTATTCTATTTTACTTGATGATAGAAAGACTCTCCAAGCTCTCTATTTATAGCACCAAAACTAGGTACTAGGAAGGTGGGAGGAAGATGGGTGGAAGCTTAGGAGAAGCTTCAATGGAGGTGTGAGGAAGGTGGTTGTTTGGTGTGAGGAAACTTCCCAGAGACATACTTGCACATGGAGGAAGTTTCATGGATGTTACTCACAAGAATTCTTCATTTTTATCATATCTCAATACGTAGTACTATCTAGTTTTTAAGCATTTGACTAAATTATAGCACAAGCTCTAAAAAACAATGATACAGAGTATGATTTTAGTTTTTTGATACCAAATTCTAAACTGAATAAATAATACCCAATATCAATATGACGAAGTTCACATCAATAATCTCTGAGGTTTACCGTTCTAATTACATCATACTACGTTTCAATTTGTTAATTGTTTCACAAAAATGAAGTGTCACTTGACGTTGTTAACTGCCTAATATGTTACTCCCCCAATATGTTACGTAGTACTCTCTCTGTCCCACTAAGAATGAAATACTAGTAATTTGATTCACGAGGCTTGACCGACAATAAAGCAAATACATTTGTGTCCATACTTAAATTATTTTTAGAAAAAAAGGCATATTCAAAAATTACATTAAAAGCTTTACAAAGTCGAAAAAAACAGAATCAAATTTGATAAATATTTGATATATAGAGTAAGAGATTAAGAGTGATTTATGTTGACTAAGTGAATAGGAACTGTGACAATCTTAGCGAGACGAAGGGAGTAGTTCATTTCCATGAAACTGTTGAGAAATTGAGATTATTTATGTACTATCTTCGTCCCAAAAAACTTTGTCATTTAAAAAAAATGAACCATAATTTCGATTAGTATAATATAATGGAAGCTAATAATTTTATACTTTTATGAAAGTACTTATAACAAAGAACATTTTCATATAATTTTTATATTATAAATAATTTCCAATAAAAAGATATAATTGGTCAAAGTTTTGAAAATGACAAATTTTTTTGGGATGGAGGTAGTATAATTTTCAAATTGAGATTATTTATATTTAATTTTTATACTTTTTGAATATAAGAGGGTCAAAAATTTCTTACACGCGCATGAAATAGTTTTTATAATAAGTTAGTATCACATTTATTCCAAATTATAAGAAATATAAAATTAAATTACGATACTTGACTTAATTAAGAATTACTATCATTTAATTCACACTGACATTTAACATAGTATTACCAAACTACTTTGAAACATATAATATGAAAAACAATATCGAATATGAAAATGTATAGACAAAATATAAAAGAATAAAAAATTATTTGATGTGTATTTGTTCACCATTCGGCCATTCCAGCATTAGAAACTACAAGAATTTATTTATAGGGACCATTATTGGCGGAAGGTCCATAAAGTTGAGATTATTCTGTAATAATCAATAGTTAGGATTATTATGAGCAGACCGTCAATAGTTGGGATTATTACTATTAATTTTTCCAATAAAAAATTATTTGATGTGTATTTGTTCACCATTCGGCCATTCCAGCATTCGTACTACCAAGTACTACGTAGTTTATTTAATGATAAATATTATATGTATTGAATTCAGAGTAGACTTAGATTTAAAATTAGATATGAAATTTTAATGCTTTATACTACGTATTATTTCACTTCATCGAACATTATTGTGAACTTTTTCATTTTTTCTTTAAATAATGGAAATGTTAACGCCATTAGTCTCGGGTTCATTTTTGTGAAGTTATTAAAGATGAAGGATTATTAGTATCAATCATTCAATCTACGCAAATTATACCAGTCCCCAAACGTCATCTTTTTGTTTATAAAAAAATTAACCGATGTAGCCTCCAATAGCGATGAACATGGAGTTAAGGACTGGTAAGACGGTGGAGTGGTGATCCGTTACCTCCTTTGCGGCAACAGAGATGGAAGCTGCGTCCATGGTGGAGTGGGGCAGAGCTTGGCCACCACTGATTTGAGAACGATTTGGCCGAAGCTTCGTATCAAGTGCTCCACAGAATTAGAGATAGGCTTTTATAAATTGAAACTGTTATTCTTAGAATCTTAATTAGTACATGGATGTTTCTTCAAGCTTTTGTTTATGTTGCTATGGAGTTCGAAGTCTACGGATGAGTGCAGGGCTTCACATTTTTATTCATCTGCAACAATTTACATTTTTAAAAAATCGATTTACATTTCCATTTATATCAAGTTACACTTCAAAACAATACGAGTTACACAACAAAGTAAACCCTTGTTATTCAAAAACAATTTTTTTTATTAAAAATCAATTTTCATAATCCTGGTATTAATAGCAAAACATATTCACTTAATCAAGCTCTTATTTTTCATTATCTACATTGACATGAATGTTTTACTTCTTGTTGAGTTTAATCCAACACGATATAGTAAATATATGTATGAACACTCAGTTTTTACGTGGAAACCCGAAAGGGAGAAAACCACGGGACTTTTTAGGCTAATGTCCAGGCCCTCTCTTTCTCATTAGGACTCTCCTCACAATTACATTGTACAAGCTCCCATTAATGGAGTTCTAAACTATTCTAGAGAGAAGGTGGAAGAAGAAAAGGATCATAATATGGAGGGAAGACCTCCTATAAATAGGGAAAGGGGTGAAGGAAGTACTCCACCCTAATGGACCAAACGGGCCGATGTCGGGCTGATGTCGGGCCTAATGGCCAAAGTGGGCCAGAATGGGCCGAAATGGACCTAGCTGCTCGGGCTCCGTACTGGATAATGTCTTGGGCCCCTGAACAGTAATAGGCCGGGATAATATATCCCAACACTTCTTATATTATATTTTAAACAATTTACATTTCAACTTGACTAAAGTTACATTTCTTATAATCATGAGTTACATTACTTTAAGCACGAGTTACATATCAGTTTATTGCTGAAAGCAAAAAAAAAAAAAAAAAAAAAAAACCTGTGAGCAGGATGCTCAAGGTGAGCCGCTCCCATGGTATACATACTCTTCAATCTCGCATATAAACACGCATCGATTACTATAGTTTTCTTCCACCGTATATATTTTTTAGGTTTCTCTCGCATATATAACACTAGTCTATTTTTTATTTCGAAAGTTTTAAGACAAAAACAAAAAAAAACATTGCATATAATACTTTAATTAATACATTAAAGAAAACTGCAGAGTACTAAACTACGGAGTAATATGTAAAAAATGTGTTGAATCAAGTTTATTGACAGTATCTGAATACACATACAAATATAAATTGAATTGATAATGCAAAGATGCGAACAATGTGGGGGATAGAATAGATTGGCGGGCATAACTCAATCTGTAAATAGAAGTGCCACAAGGAATAAGTTTCGCGTTTGAATCTCATCGACTACAGAATAAAAAAAACTTTACCATCTTTTTTGTGAGCGATAGAATAGAAAACTAAGGGAGTAGCTCACCCAAGCCACCACGACATTGCTATTTTGCAGCCATCAAAAGTCAGAATCTAAAAAGAAAAGACAAACACGCCACACAACAGAATCTTCCTAACCATACGCACCCTCCCAATGTTTTTCTTCTACGTATATCTTATCTTTCATTTACATTTATATATATAATATATATCTCTAAAATACTAAACCTCAACATTTCTGTTTGGAATCGCCAAGCCCCGCCTCGTTACTATACATATTTACAAATATAAATAAATATTGTACCTTCTCACAAAAAAATATTGTACCAGAGTGTTTGTTTAATTTTAGAATCTTAATTTTATTATTATTGAGCACCTCTTTTATTTCTAGAAATATACATATATGTGCAAGTATGAATTAATTAGTCACATTTCATGTCCTCCCAAAAGCCGGGGGACTATTTTAATAGGATCAAAACACATTGATTAACGAATCCAGGAAGGGCTAATTAAGAAACAATGTTTCGGTTGTTATTCCTCACCTTTTCGGCCCTCATCCCCTTTCTCTTCCCTTGCTTTCCCGCCACAGAAGTAACTGAATTAACCGTCGACGACAACTCGTGGCGGGACTTCCTCAACTTCGTCGACCTCGGAAAGGGAAGCCAAGTCGCCGGCGTGTCTGAGCTCAAGAAATACTTTCACCGTTTCGGATACCTCCGGTCGCCGGTGCAGGGGAGTAATAACCACCACCATAGCTTCACCGATTTCTTCGACGACCAGCTCGAGTCTGCCGTTCTCCGGTATCAGAAGAACCTCGGGCTGGCCGTGACCGGAAAACTTGACTCTGATACCATAAACAAAATCGTGCAGCCGAGGTGCGGCGACGTCGACGACGGGATGAGGCACTCGACGTCGTTGCGTGGCACGAAGAAATACGCCTACTTCTATGGCCACCCGCGGTGGAGGAGGCCGCCGGTGGGACTGTTGACGTACGCGTTCTCGCCGGATAACATGATCGAGTATATACCCTTACCGGAGATAAAGGCGGTGTTCCTGAAGGCCTTCTCGCGGTGGTCGGCGGTGATCCCAGTGAACTTCACGGAGGTCGACGACTACCCCTCGGCTGACATCAAGATTGGGTTTTACCGCGGCGACCACGGCGACGGAGAGCCGTTCGACGGAGTATTGGGGATATTAGCCCACGCGTTCTCGCCGGAGAACGGGAGGCTTCACCTTGACGCGGCGGAGACGTGGGCGGTTGACTTCGTAAAGCAGCAGTCAAAGGTGGCTGTGGATTTGGAATCTGTGGCGACGCATGAGATTGGTCACATTCTTGGGCTGGCCCACTCATCGGTCAAAGATTCAATAATGTACCCAAGTTTGACCCCGAGAACCAAGAAAGTGGATCTCCGGGTTGATGACGTGGCAGGGATCCAAGCGTTATACGGGTCAAATCCGAATTTCAGGTATAGTTCGTTATTGTGGTCGGATATTTCTTCCGGTTCGTGTATTACGCTTGGAAGGAGATCATCAAAATGGGCAACTTTATTCGTCCTCCTATTTTTTCTTTTGTAAGATGTACACTCAATTTGTGATTGTTTAGATTTAATTTATTTTATTTTTTACCGCTTTGTAAATATTATAATTGGACAGGCCTGTAAAAATGATAGATATTTGGAATTGATTTTATTGATTTTTTTATATTTTATATATACACAGGGCTCTTTATTTAATTAACAAGTAATATTTCTCAAATTAAAGTTTTACTTATTCTAGTGATTCATCTAGCTATGTAAGGATCGGATTCCGTCTCCGGCTCAGGTGTTTCAACACACACTCTCACACACCACACTTAGGAGGAGGCTATAGCACACACTTATTTTTCTCTCCACTTAGACCTCTCTACACTCACACAAAGGAGGAAGAAGAAGTGAGCTCTGCTCTCTCACACAAAGGATATACTCACGCAGGCTGCTTCAACAAGGGAAGAAGCAAGGCTTCAAATAGGCTGCCAAGGGAGTTCACGGGTGAAGCTAGACAAAAGAGAATCACATGTTACCAATACAAAGGAGAGTCACATGTATAGGCCAAGACAAAGTGATGCAGCGTACAGGAAGCAGAGAAGGGGCCAGCCAGTGGATTAAGTTAAACCACTCAAAATAGGTATATATTTGATCAGGATATATACCAAAGAAAAGGTATCCAAGGGAGAGTAAAATAGAGTGTGCAAGCCTCAACTAATAAAGTGGAAGGGAGGCCTTGGTAGGACCAATACCTCCAACATTCTCCACCTTATTGGTCCTAGGTGGTGTAGAGTAACAAAACAAAGTTGTGACAAGACTCATCATCGCCGGGTCACCCGGAATATCAACAGACACAACGGGCAAACACTTTATTAGGCAACCCACAGTTATCCACAGTCAAAGTTTAACACGCGTTTACAGGACAAGTGCTTCTCAGCAGAAAGACACTTGGTACCCATATCCGCGGGGTTAAACTCGGACGGGATCTTGCACAGCTTGACTCCACCTGCATCAACAATATCACGTATGAAATGGAACCTAACATCAATATGCTTAGTTCTATCATGAAATACAGGATTTTTGCAAAGTTGGATAGCCGATTGGCTATCCGAGAAAATGGTAACTCCCTTTTTGAGAAACCCAATTTCGGAGACAAGGCGTTTGAGCCAGATGGCTTCCTTAAACGCTTCTGTGGCTGCAACATACTCGGACTCAGTGGTAGAAAGGGCCACAATAGGCTGTAGTTGAGACTTCCAACTAATGCAAGAGCCACACAAAGTAAAAACATAAGAAGTGGTCGACTTCCTGTTATCTCTATCATTTGCATAGTTAGAATCAACATAACCAATCAATTCAATACCACTAGCACACTTAGAGAAAATTAATCCATGCTTCACAGTAGAAATCAGATATCTAAGCAACCACTTAAGAGCATTCCAATGGGGCAAACCAGGGTTGGACATATATCTACTCAAGCAACTAACCGCATATGCAATATCAGGTCTAGTGCTAACCATAAGATACATCACCGACCCTATTGCGCTGGAATAAGGCACAGATTTCATTTTCTCAATTTCAGGAGCAGTCTTGGGAGACTGGTCCTTACTTAACACAAAGTGAGATGCCAAAGGGACATTAACAGGAGAAGCAGATAACATATTAAATTTACTCAAAACTTTTTCTATGTAAGAAATCTGATTCAAAGTAAGAGTACGCTTACTCCTATCCCTAACAATGTTTATGCCTAGGATCCTCTTGGCATCACCTAGGTCTTTCATGGCAAAATTCGCACAAAGACATTTTTGCACATCTTTAATAGCATTCAGAGAAGGACTAATTATCAGCATGTCATCCACATAGAGTAACAAAAATACAGGCACAGAAGAAGTATTTTTGAAATACAGGCAATGATCACAAACAGATTTCTGGAACTTCAAAGATATCATGCATTTATCAAATTTGATGTTCCACTGCCTAGGGGATTGCTTCAGGCCATACAAAGCCTTCTTAAGCAAACAGACATGCTCACTTCCCTTGGGATCCACAAAGCCCTCAGGCTGGGTCATATAAATTGTTTTATCCAATTCACCATGCAAAAATGCAGTAGTTACATCCATCTGTTTCATTTCCCAGTCATGGTGAGCAACTAAAGCAAGCATCATACGAATAGTGGTGAATTTAACAACAGGAGCAAAGATTTCTGCATAATCTACCCCCTCTTTTTGAGTAAACCCCTTCGCAACCAACCTAGCCTTAAACCTAACATCACTAGGTTCTTCCTTAACCTTAAACAACCACTTACACTCAACTACTGAACAGTTGGGGGGTCTAGGTACAAGGGTCCAAGTCTGGTTCACTCTCAAAGAGTCCATCTCACTTTTCATGGCACTAATCCATTTCTGAGACTCTTTGGAACCTAAGGCTTCACGGTAGGTTTTGGGTTCATTCAGCTCTAGGGATTCAAACACAGAAAATGCAAACATAGAAGTATCATGCACAATGAAAGCATAATCAGGCATACTATCAGCAGTTCTCCTGATAGCCCTTCTACTCCTATCTCTAGCAAGTTGATAATCATGCAAATTATCACTACTAGGCTCCACATGCAACTCATGCAAATTATTGTTATCATGAAAATCAGATTCAGCACCCATATCATGCACATCATGCTCAGTATCATGCAAATGCTCCACCTCACTCGAGGTGGTGGGACTATCATGCTCAGAGGAATCAGAATCATGCATAACAATATCATCAGTAATAACAGGATCAACAGATAAAGGACTAGCAGCAACAGGGACAGACTCCACCTCACTAGGAGTACTATCAGACCTAGACTCAAGATTAGAAGCAGACTCGGTCAAGCAAGGAAAATCAGTTTCATTAAACACCACATTTCTGCTAAGGACCACTTTAAAGCCTACCTGGTTCCTATCCCATAACCTGTAACCCTTTACCCCCTCTGGATAACCTAGGAAGACACACTTCTTAGACCTAGGATCCAACTTGTCACCCTGTTGATGTGCATACGCTGCACAACCAAACACCCGAAGGTTAGACAGATCAAGAGGCTTACCGGTAAAGACGGTTTCAGGACACTTACCACCAAGAGGGACAGACGGGGACCTATTAACCAAATAGGCAGCAGTAGTGACTGCTTCACCCCAGAATTTCTTAGACAAACCAGAGGTAGCTAACATGCTTCTAACCTTATCCAACAGAGACCTATTCATTCTCTCTGCTATCCCATTCTGTTGGGGAGTATAAGGCACAGTTTTGTGCCTTTTTATCCCACAATCCACACACAGCTTATCCATCTCCTTATTACAGAACTCTAACCCATTATCGGTCCTAAGGGTCTTAACCTTCCTGCCAGTTTGGTTTTCAACTAGGGTTTTCCACTCCCTAAACCTCACAAACACATCTGACTTGTGTTCTAAAAGGCAAACCCACACCTTCCTAGAGAAGTCATCAATAATGGAAAGGAAATATTTCCTACCCCCGTGGGTAGGAACACTGGCAGGACCCCAAACATCGACATGAACATATTCAAGCACAGACGAACACTTAGACAGATTAGGGTAAGAGGAAGGAGGGAAGCTGACTCTATGCTGCTTGCCTAACACACAAGATTCACAGAAAGGCACAGAAGTCACAGAGTCCTTACCAAAATAACCAGCCCTACGCATGACATCTAAACCTTTATTGCTCATATGTCCTAGCCTATTATGCCACAAAGAGGTCTTATCAGAACATACAACATTCACAGATTCAGCAAAAGGTTTAGCATGACACATGTCACGCCCCGGACCTACCGGACACGTCAACAACCCGCCGTACAGTACGAATAGTCAACCGCAGTCCAACTCATCCATACTATACTAGGCGTCTTGAATACCATTCACACATAGTACATCCATAAACAACATAATGTAAAATAATCATTTAAAGCAGCGGAAATGTTCAATACAAATGTGCACGCCACACTTTGGCAACATGGGCATACAAGCCCTAAATACATATTAAAGAAAAATAATATCCATGAGCATGGTTTAAATCGTTTTCAAAACAGAAACAGAAGAAGCACGAACCACGTCTTCTTCTCTTGAATTCTCCGGTACAACGGGCGGTAGCGGCAAGCTTTAATCCCGACCTGAAACTGTGAGGTGGCCTCCCCCGTGAAGGGGAGGTCAGTACTTGGAAGCATTTGACAAGTACAATGACAACTATACTAAGTATAATCAAAGTTTCAATTTCCAAGACCCTCAACTTAGGATGTTACTATTTGAAATTAATTTATGTTCCTTCATGCTAGAGCTCGGCTCATAGTCATGTTAATCTGTGCTAGAGCTCGGCTCATAGTCACACCACATTTCGCTAGAGCTCGGCTCATAGTCATTCCTACATTTTTGTGCTAGAGCTCGGCTCATAGTCACACTACATTTTGCTAGAGCTCGGCTCATAGTCATTCCTACATTTTTGTGCTAGAGCTCGGCTCATAGTCACACTACATTTTGCTAGAGCTCGGCTCATAGTCATTCCTACATTTTTGCTAGAGCTCGGCTCATAGTCATACTACCACGTGCTAGAGCTCGGCTCGTAGTCACGTCATCTAATCCCTAAACCACTTCTTAGTCTAGGCTCCATTCCTTTTGAGTAACCCTTGAGGTCTACTCCTAACATAACTTGACTTCGTAAAGTCCACCCTAATTATCCTTTAAGGTTACTTAGCTTCGATATCTTGGGATTAGCTCCCAAGCACTATTGAACTAACATCCCCGACTAGTCTTCAATATTAGTCGTCTAATCTTAATAAGCCAACGCCAATTTCATAATAATTCATACATTTCAATTTAATTTCACATTTCAAGTATAACTTGATTCAATATCAAAATATCACTTTTATTCCCTTCATGAGGTAAAAGCATATTTATCACCATACAATTTTATAACTTACACCACAATTGGGTCATTATAATCACAACACATAATCATACACAATTTATTCTTAAATTTGTATATTATGCATTTTCTTTATGAACAATACTATATCCCATTTTAGGCATTCTTAATCATAAATAACTCATGCCAAACACATATAATTCATTTAGGCAATCTTATGAAATTAACCCAATAATTATAAACAATATAGTCGGTCATCCTCACCTTAAGTGAGTTTGAACACGTTCTACGCCTCCCGGTTGAACTTTGACTAATTTCCGGTGAACTTTGACCAACTCCGGCGAACGTTGACCAACTCCGGCGAAACTCCGGCGAAGCTCAAAAATACTTAATCAAGTTCCTAACAAGGTTTTAACATCATAAAACCTTAATCAATACAAATAACCTATAAAAGGTTATTTTCCGGTGAACTTGTCGGTTTGGCCCCTAGGTTCGTTTTTGGACATAGAACCACCTTCCAACCCATCATTCTACACTTAAGCCATGTAGAACAATCCTCAAGTTTCCTCATATGATATATATCTCATATGGTAGAAGAAAAATAAAGGAAAAACTAATATGAGGTTATTACCTTAATCCTTCACACTTTCTCCCAACTTTTCCCTTCTTAAAACCCTTCCTTTGGACTCCTTAAGCTTGAGTTCAGTTCTTGGCTATGGAGGATGAGGTTGCAAGAGCTATCCTTCTATCTTGGGTCTCTTTGGCCGAAATAATGGGGGAGGGTGAGTGAGGGGATAGCCTATTTGGCTTTTCTCTCAAAATAATGTGTAAATGGGCCCCCTCATGGTACCTTGATAGCTTCCTCCCACCTCCCTCTTGTCTCACAGCTCAAGTGTGACACAAATCAGCCCCCTTTGGCTGCCAAATTCGTGGGTTGGCCCCCACCCAAGTGGGAGGTCAACCCTTGTTGTCCAGAAGTGTACAATTGGTCCCGAAAGTTGTATTTTTCGGACTGTTTTAAATATATTTTATTTTATCGGGTCAAATAAAATATATTATGTGTTCTCAACCATTACGACCCTTATAGTGAATATACATTCCCCAACTTTAATTTATAAGTCCCCGAAATTCAATTTCGGGCTTCTATCGGTTAAATTGCCAATACCGGTATTTGAGCCCCTTTTGACCAATCGGCCAACTCCGGACCTTTCCATGGCTCAAATGAGTTATCCAACACCATATAAATATTATCTAAACCAGGATGAATAATTTATGTGGTCCCGGGAATATCGGGCGGCCCCCGCTCCCGGTGCGGGCCCCACGTGCGGATTTACTATTCGTGCAAAAGAACTAATAAAAATTCACAACTTCGAATAATCGTTAACCATTTCATAAGGTTCAATACAATATACTCTTAAAAGTAAATACATTTGGGGACGGCGCTACAAGTTCACCCCCCCTTATTTGGGATTTCGTCCCCGAAATCCACGTGTCTAATCGAAGAGAAAAGGGTATTGCTCCCTCATTGAGACCTCGGTCTCCCATGTTTCTTCCTCGACTCGATCACTCCTCCAAAGGACTTTTACCATAGGAATCTCTTTGTTCCTCAGTTTCTTCACCTGTTGGCCCACAACCTTTACTGGTTCCACCGCATATTGTAGATCTTCACGTATCTCTACCGGTGGCTTCTCAAGAATATGAGACGGATCTCTCACGTATTTCTTGAGCATCGATACGTGAAACACGTCGTGTATCTTCTCAAGTTCTGGCGTCAACTTCAGACGGTATGCCACGACCCCTATCCTTTCAAGAATTTCAAATGGGCCAATGTATCGGGGGTTGAGTTTTCCCCTCGATATAAATCGGATGATACCCTTCCAAGGAGAAATTCTTAGGAAGACCTTATCACCGACCTCGAACTCCAGTGGCCTTCGTCGTTTGTCGGCATAACTCTTCTGCCGATCTTGGGCAGCCTTGAGTCTATCCTGAATGACTTTCACCTTAGCCTTGGTGATTTCAACAAGTTCAATCCCTTCGAGCTTGGCCTCGCCAACCTCGTCCCAACACAACGGTGTCCTGCATTTCCTCCCATACAATGCCTCATATGGAGGCATGCCAATACTCGCCTGATAACTATTGTTATAGGCGAACTCTACTAGAGCCAAATGTTTGTCCCAACTCCCCTGGAACTCCAAAGCACATGCCCTTAGCATATCTTCTAAAACCTGTATCACCCTCTCGGATTGCCCATCCGTCTGTGGATGAAAAGCTGTGCTAAACTTCAGTTTAGTACCCAAAGATGCTTGAAACTTGGGCCAAAATCGAGATGTGAATCGTGGATCCCTATCCGAGACAATGGATATCGGGACTCCATGTAGTCTCACAATCTCCTCCGTGTATAGCTTTGCCAATCTCTCAAGAGGATAAGTAATGTTGATAGGCAAAAAGTGTGCACTCTTGGTGAGCCTATCAACCACTACCCATACTGCATCATAGTTGTTCACTGTTCGTGGTAGCCCCACCACGAAGTCCATGGTCACATGCTCCCACTTCCATTCTGGAATGGTTAGTGGCTGCAAAAGCCCCGCCGGGTGCTGATGCTCTGCCTTAACTTGTTGGCAAGTAAGGCATCGACTCACGTACTCTGCGATATCCCTCTTCATACCCGACCACCAGTAACTTTCCTTCAAATCTCGGTACATTTTAGTACCTCCTGGATGCATAGCATATGCCGAAGAGTGAGCCTCTTCCAGGATAGACTTTTGGAGCTCTTCACTCTTTGGTATGCACACACGGTCTTTAAACAATAAAAGTCCGTCATCACGTACCCGAAAGTTCTCCACGGGCCCTTCGAGGATCCTCTCGCGGATCTTCTGGCATTCATCATCAGTGGCCTGACATCTACTGATCTCACTCAGCAATGTGGGCCTAACCTCGAATCTAGCAATGAGGACCCCACTCGTGGACACCTCCACTTGTGCTCTCAAGGTTCGTAGACATGTGAGTAGTGTCCCCGACGTACTTTTCCTGCTCAGTGCATCGGCCACTACATTGGCTTTTCCGGGATGATAGTCGATGATCAAGTCATAATCCTTGATCAACTCCATCCATCTCCTTTGTCTCATGTTCAACTCTTTCTGAGTGAATACGTACTTCAAGCTCTTATGATCGGTAAAAATGTGACATGTCTCCCCATAGAGGTAATGCCTCCAAATCTTTAGTGCAAACACTACCGCCCCCAACTCTAGATCGTGGGTAGGGTAGTTCGCCTCGTGTTTCTTCAATTGCCTAGAAGCATAGGCAATCACCCGACCGTTTTGCATCAGTACACATCCAAGCCCTTGGATGCTAGCATCACTGTAGATATCATACCCTATCCCCTGTATAGGTAGGGCTAGTACTGGTGCTTCGGTAAGTCGTTTCTTCAGTTCAAGGAACCCTTTCTCACACTTGTCGTCCCATATGAACTTGGCCCCTTTCTTTGTGAGCTTCGTTAATGGAGACGCCAATACGGAGAATTTTTCCACAAATTTACGATAGTATCCCGCTAAGCCAAGGAAACTACGTATCTCTTTCACATTCTTGGGTCTCTCCCAATCCATAATAGCTTTAATCTTGGCGTTGTCCACGGCAACGCCCGAACCGGATATGACATGACCGAGGAAACCAATCTCTTTGAGCCAAAATTCGCATTTTGAGAACTTGGCAAAGAGTTGCTTTTCCCTTAACCGATCAAGTACAAGCCTCAAATGGTGTTCGTGCTCCTCCTCGCTCTTGGAGTATATCAAGATGTCGTCAATGAATACTATCGCGAATTGGTCTAAGTATTCACTAAACACACGGTTCATCAAGTCCATGAATGCCGCCGGTGCGTTGGTTAAACCAAACGACATCACAAGGAATTCGTAATGACCATATCTAGTGCGAAATGCACTCTTAGGTATGTCACTCTCCTTGATCTTCAACTGATGATACCCCGACCTCAAGTCAATCTTCGAGAACACTATTGCCCCTCGAAGTTGGTCGAACAAGTCATCAATCCTCGGTAAGGGATACCTGTTCTTGATGGTGACCTTGTTCAACTGTCGGTAGTCAATACACATTCTTAGTGTACCATCTTTCTTCTTTACGAATAGTACGGGTGCTCCCCACGGTGAATGACTGGGTCTGATGAACCCGTTGTCCAATAGTTCTTGTAGTTGGACCTTCAACTCTTGAAGTTCGGCCGGTGCCATTCGATAAGGAGGAATCGAAATGGGTTTGGTTCCCGGCTCCACTTCGATTACAAATTCAATCTCTCTATCGGGTGGAAGCCCCGGTAGGTCCTTGGGAAAGACGTCCGGGTACTTGCACACGACTCGAACATCCTTGATGTCGACTTCTTTCTTCGTATCATCTACCACGTAAGCAAGGTATGCGTGGCACCCTTTTCTCATCATCTTCCGTGCTCTCATCACGGATATGATGCAAACATTTGATTTCCCCCGATCTCCTTCGAAACATAGCGTGTTTCCTTGCTCATCCTCGAGCTCCAACACCTTGGTGTAGCAATCTACTCGAGCATGGTGCTTCTCAAGCCAATCCATTCCTAGGATTGCATCGAACTCCAACATGCTTAGAGGTACGAAATCACAAGTCAAGGGTTGACCCGTCACTTCCACCTCACATGATGGATAGTAATGATTTCTCTCCACATCGTCCCCTAACGGTGTGGAGACTAGCAACGTTTGCGTCATAGGTGTCAACGGCACGTCAAGTCCCTCGGCGAACGCCTCACTCACAAATGAGCGTTGTGCCCCGGTATCGATGAGGATCCTCGCACACCTACCATTAATCTTTAATGTTCCTACATTTATACACCATGTAAGACACATTTTCTAATGTTTTTACACATCTTTAGGAGGTTATTAAGTCAATACTAAGGTTTGGAATCAAACGGGGGTCCAAACGTAGAAGAACGGGGTGAAAAAATCAATTTTCGGGGGTTGGGGGTCCACGCACGGCGTGCCTGGGTGGCACGCACGACCGTGCGTGCAACGAACTAACTCTGCGTGCCACTGCCGGCCAGGCACGATGCCAGGCACGGCGTGCCTACGGCCGTGCCTGGCCAAAAATACTTCGGACGCTACTGCCTTCCAGGCACGACGCCAGGCACGGCGTGCCTGCGGCCGTGCCTGGCCCAATTTTTTTTTTTTTTCCTTTTCTTCGGGTGCCACTGCCTTCCAGACACGGTGCCAGGCACGGCGTGCCTGCGACCGTGCCTGGCCCAAAAATCTTCCGGTTGCCACTGCCTTCCAGGCACGATGCCAGGCACGGCGTGCCTGCGAGCGTGCCTGGCCGTCAGTGGCTGTTTCCAGCTGATTTGGCCTAACTTGCCCGGTTTTGACCCCGGGGTGGCCCGCACTCAATCCCTACGACGTATATGATCAATGCAAGCCTAGAAATACATGGGAATACGTGTATTACCTGCAACGGAGTCGGGATTGGCCCGAGCATCGGCCTCGGTCATTGCGTAGACTCTAGCTTGCGTCCTTCCTTGATTCACGGACGGCGCGTTGCTGGCGCTCGCTCCCCCCTGCCCCGTACTAGCATGGGGTGCTCCGGTCCGACTTCTACTTGCCGTAGTAGCGCCGCTTGATCCCGCCCCTCGGTTTCCACCAAGTTGAGGGCAATTTGGTTTAAGATGCCCCGTGTCTCCACATTGGTAGCACCGAGGAGGGTCACGACACTTACCGGCGTGGCTCCTGTTGCAATTTCGGCACCTGGGCGCTGTCGAGGCTTGTGAGCCCGAGTTGTGCCCGCCGAAAGCCGAGTTTCCCTTGGATGGCGGCGCCGGTGCCCTGAACGATCCTCCTCCCCCGTGGTTCCCCTTTTTGTTAGAACCTTGTGGGCCATGGCTTTCCCACTTCCTCTTCTTCGCCTCATCGGCGTTCCTCCGCTTTCTTTCCTCCCACTCCTTCTCTCCCTTCAGGCCTTGTTCGACCATTTGACTAAACGTCATATTAGGCAATTGTGTTGCCCTCTCGCGTATGTCAAGGTCTAAGGCATCCCAGAAGTGGTTCACCATCCGGTTCTCATCACATATGTACTCCGGTATGAATTCGGCAAGCTTTCTGAACTTGTGCTCAAGTTCCTTCACCGTACATGCGCCTCCCTGTGTCAAGTTCGTATACTCCCTCCTCTTCATGTTTACCTCGAAGTCGGAGTAGTATTGGTTGAAGAACTCCTGCCGAAAGTTCTCCCATGTGACGGCTTCGCCGTATTTCCCTTTGACCCCGTCCCACCACGTGGACGCCATGCCTTCGAGCAATCTTGTTGCCACCCTCAGTTTCATGATGGGTGGCAGCTGCATGTCAAGGGCCGCCTCGTTGAATCTTTTGATCCATTCGGCCGCAACGGAGATGTCTCCCGTTCCATCAAACGGTTTACATCCCAAATCTCGTGCTTCTTTGATAAATTTGGAGATCCTTATGGTTGGACCTCCCACATTTTGGCCTCCATGTGGTTCAACATGGACTCTAGAAGCACTTTGGCTTCCTCCTCTCGAAGCCATGCCCGAAGGTTGCCCCGTTCGGCGCCTTCGGCGTTGTCTCCTCTCTTCGCGCTCCCGGTGGTATTGTTGGAGCAGCGCCTCGATCCTCCCAAGAGTGCCATCGCCTTCACTCTCTTCACTTACATCGTCATCTTCCCCATCATATGGGGTTTCCACCGGCTCGGTTTCCGGCCTATAGGTTGAGTCCTCATAGGACCAATAAGTCTCACTCTCAGTGTCCACGTGGCCATCGCTCACGGTTTGTTGTTGGCCTCCACGGCCCCTTCCCCTGGACACCCTAGTGGACCCCCGACTGCCGCGTTCGGACCCACCCGGTACACGGCCCATCGGGTTCCTCCTAGTGATCCTTCCAATTGGCTCCATTTCTGAAAGAAGTTTAGAATGAGCCGTTAGACTCGTATCAAATGTCAAGTGACGGATAGGTACTTAGGGACATCTTTTGGCTCAAATCACCGCCATGCCAATAGTTAAGGGTACCATCTTAACAATTAGAGACGTTGCAACTCAAGTACCAAAAGTTCTATAAGTACAAAACTTTTTATGCTCATGGTTTTCAAATTCGTTTTCAAAAGAGGTTTTGAAGCTTCATTATGAAGTTTACGGACTAAGGCTCTGATACCAATTAAATTGTCACGCCCAGGACCTACCGGACACGTCAACAACCCGCCGTACAGTACGAATAGTCAACCGCAGTCCAACTCATCCATACTATACTAGGCGTCTTGAATACCATTCACACATAGTACATCCATAAACAACATAATGTAAAATAATCATTTAAAGCAGCGGAAATGTTCAATACAAATGTGCACGCCACACTTTGGCAACATGGGCATACAAGCCCTAAATACATATTAAAGAAAAATAATATCCATGAGCATGGTTTAAATCGTTTTCAAAACAGAAACAGAAGAAGCACGAACCACGTCTTCTTCTCTTGAATTCTCCGGTACAACGGGCGGTAGCGGCAAGCTTTAATCCCGACCTGAAACTGTGAGGTGGCCTCCCCCGTGAAGGGGAGGTCAGTACTTGGAAGCATTTGACAAGTACAATGACAACTATACTAAGTATAATCAAAGTTTCAATTTCCAAGACCCTCAACTTAGGATGTTACTATTTGAAATTAATTTATGTTCCTTCATGCTAGAGCTCGGCTCATAGTCATGTTAATCTGTGCTAGAGCTCGGCTCATAGTCACACCACATTTCGCTAGAGCTCGGCTCATAGTCATTCCTACATTTTTGTGCTAGAGCTCGGCTCATAGTCACACTACATTTTGCTAGAGCTCAGCTCATAGTCATTCCTACATTTTTGTGCTAGAGCTCGGCTCATAGTCACACTACATTTTGCTAGAGCTCGGCTCATAGTCATTCCTACATTTTTGCTAGAGCTCGGCTCATAGTCATACTACCACGTGCTAGAGCTCGGCTCGTAGTCACGTCATCTAATCCCTAAACCACTTCTTAGTCTAGGCTCCATTCCTTTTGAGTAACCCTTGAGGTCTACTCCTAACATAACTTGACTTCGTAAAGTCCACCCTAATTATCCTTTAAGGTTACTTAGCTTCGATATCTTGGGATTAGCTCCCAAGCACTATTGAACTAACATCCCCGACTAGTCTTCAATATTAGTCGTCTAATCTTAATAAGCCAACGCCAATTTCATAATAATTCATACATTTCAATTTAATTTCACATTTCAAGTATAACTTGATTCAATATCAAAATATCACTTTTATTCCCTTCATGAGGTAAAAGCATATTTATCACCATACAATTTTATAACTTACACCACAATTGGGTCATTATAATCACAACACATAATCATACACAATTTATTCTTAAATTTGTATATTATGCATTTTCTTTATGAACAATACTATATCCCATTTTAGGCATTCTTAATCATAAATAACTCATGCCAAACACATATAATTCATTTAGGCAATCTTATGAAATTAACCCAATAATTATAAACAATATAGTCGGTCATCCTCACCTTAAGTGAGTTTGAACACGTTCTACGCCTCCCGGTTGAACTTTGACTAATTTCCGGTGAACTTTGACCAACTCCGGCGAACGTTGACCAACTCCGGCGAAACTCCGGCGAAGCTCAAAAATACTTTAATCAAGTTCCTAACAAGGTTTTAACATCATAAAACCTTAATCAATACAAATAACCTATAAAAGGTTATTTTCCGGTGAACTTGTCGGTTTGGCCCCTAGGTTCGTTTTTGGACATAGAACCACCTTCCAACCCATCATTCTACACTTAAGCCATGTAGAACAATCCTCAAGTTTCCTCATATGATATATATCTCATATGGTAGAAGAAAAATAAAGGAAAAACTAATATGAGGTTATTACCTTAATCCTTCACACTTTCTCCCAACTTTTCCCTTCTTAAAACCCTTCCTTTGGACTCCTTAAGCTTGAGTTCAGTTCTTGGCTATGGAGGATGAGGTTGCAAGAGCTATCCTTCTCTCTTGGGTCTCTTTGGCCGAAATAATGGGGGAGGGTGAGTGAGGGGATAGCCTATTTGGCTTTTCTCTCAAAATAATGTGTAAATGGGCCCCCTCATGGTACCTTGATAGCTTCCTCCCACCTCCCTCTTGTCTCACAGCTCAAGTGTGACACAAATCAGCCCCCTTTGGCTGCCAAATTCGTGGGTTGGCCCCCACCCAAGTGGGAGGTCAACCCTTGTTGTCCAGAAGTGTACAATTGGTCCCGAAAGTTGTATTTTTCGGACTGTTTTAAATATATTTTATTTTATCGGGTCAAATAAAATATATTATGTGTTCTCAACCATTACGACCCTTATAGTGAATATACATTCCCCAACTTTAATTTATAAGTCCCCGAAATTCAATTTCGGGCTTCTATCGGTTAAATTGCCAATACCGGTATTTGAGCCCCTTTTGACCAATCGGCCAACTCCGGACCTTTCCATGGCTCAAATGAGTTATCCAACACCATATAAATATTATCTAAACCAGGATGAATAATTTATGTGGTCCCGGGAATATCGGGCGGCCCCCGCTCCCGGTGCGGGCCCCACGTGCGGATTTACTATTCGTGCAAAAGAACTAATAAAAATTCACAACTTCGAATAATCGTTAACCATTTCATAAGGTTCAATACAATATACTCTTAAAAGTAAATACATTTGGGGACGGCGCTACAACACACATAAAGGTTATTCACCTTCTCAGCTTTAAACAAAACAAGCGAGTTTTTCAGGATTTTCATACAACCATTCCCCCATTTTCCCTGTAACCCACTACTCTCCAAAGCAGCAACAGATAACAAGTTATGACACAAATCAGGGACATGCCTCACATTCTTAATGGTAAACACAGAGCCACAAGAAAACTTCAGACATATATCACCCACACCAAGCACATTGCATCTCTTATTATCAGCTAAGGAAACGTAGCCACTATCACATAACTCATAAGTAGAAAACAAATCTCTAAAGGGGGACATGTGATAGGTACAACCAGAGTCAATCAACCATTCATGCTCAGACAGGGAATTTCTCACAGAATTAACATGGTCACAAACCATCAAGATATCACCAAGGTCACATTTATGAACAGCTACACTAGCATGCTCGGTCTTCTTAGGGTGGGGGCAATCCTTAATGAAATGGCCAGTGTTACCACAATTGTAACACACTCTCTTCCTAGATTTACTCCTCTTCCTCCCAGGCTGACTAGCGTTCTTACCCTGACTATTTTGCTTAGGATTCTTAGACCTACCCTTAGATCTACCCCTAACAAACATAGCCTCACCGGAGTCCCTGGACTGACTAGCACTACCCCTAGCATGCTTCAGGTCTAATTCCTTACTCCTTAACCCATTCACAACAATGTCTAACGAAATCTCATCCCTACCATACTTAATAGCGGACTTAACATCATTATAAGAGTCGGGAATGGCATTAAGTAATACTATGGGAGTGTAATCATCAATGTGTTTATCACCTGCCTGTTTGATATTTTGTATCAGTTTATTAAACACATCCAGGTTCTCATCTATATCCTTAGTTAGGTCAAGCCTAAACCTAAAGAATTTCTCTAGTAAGAACAACTTCCCGGGCAAAGAGGTATCAGTATAGAGACTATCCAATTTCTCCCACAACTCCTTAGCGGACTCAAGAATACCCACTTTCCTAAGCACAGAATCAGACAGATTCAAGTAAATAGTAGAACAAGCAGTTTCGTTCATTTCAATTTGCTTAGCCTTATCTTCTGATTCAAGGAAAATACCAGTGACAGCTCTGAAAACTTTTTGCTGTATTAAAACACACTTTATTTTCTGTTTCCAAATATCAAAATCCGTTTTTCCATTAAATGGAAGCATACCATACTGATTCGCAGCCATGGTATCGACCACAAAAGGAACACAAAGCTAAA